TTTGTTCAGGTACTTTTGAAGAGTAACAGTAAACTCTTCAACAGTTAAACCTCTGTTTTTGTAACCTCTCCAATTCCACTGATAAAAACAGAATGTATTTACTAATCTGTAGCAGACACTAGCTGTCACTGTCTGCTCGCAAAGCGATGTGAGATTAAGTCAGTTTGGGACACACTGTTCAAACTCTGAAATTGTTAAATAGATGTGATTGTGGTTCAATCAGTTGGACAGTAATATGCTTTAGTTTTGTCACAGTGGGAACTTTGAGCCATCTGAAAATGTTAGCTAGCTAGTCCAGAATGAAAGACTGAAATTCAGTTCAGTTTTATTTACATAGCACCAGACGACAACAACAATTTCCTCAATTCCCTTTATATTGTAAATATCCTACAACAGTACAAATCCTCCCACCTTCTCTCATACCTCCTGGATATGTCCTGCCCCTCTGGTTGCAAAGCATTACAGTAGTGTGTATTTTAATATTTCTTTCTATGCAGTGTTTCAGTTGTTTTATGCAAATAACTAGAAGAAATGTTAAAAAATCGAGCAACGTTTTCCTGCTTCCTGCCATGTATCTTCTATTTTTTTAGCCTTCCATTAATGGCCAGCGATGACTTAGGCTTCCGTCCTTTGAGTATGTTTCTGTCCCAGAAAGTGCCCACTTTAGTGGAAACACACAATGATAAGGATCCTATTTGCAGATATGTGTAACACTTAGTTTTAAACACAGGACACAAGAAGACTGCTAGTTTGGAAGGGTAACCAGTAAAGTTGTCATTAACTGATGACACCTTGTATATTTATAATTGTGGTTGATACTGATCCCAGTACTTCCAGTAATTAAGCTGCCTGATGCAGAACATTTTGATCATTTCAACTACTTGTTTATTTTTGTAGTAGTCTATTCTGTATTAGTCTAGTATTGAAGGACCTCAGGGAGTTGTTTCAGATATTGGTTTGCATGGACATAAATGAGGATGAACTGATTTATTTTGTTAGTTAAAGGCTTCTTTGACATCGTGTCACAAAGGATTAACTCAATATTTCATTTTTAGGAAGAAATTCACTAAATTGTTGAATAGAGTCAAATATTTGTTTTGTTTTTTTAATTTGCAGAAGTCAAACGCACAGATCAATGTTCAGCTGCATGTTAAACAAATCTTTTATATTCTCTGTACTTGCTTACAAAGCATTACACTATATCACAGACATACCAGGTTCTTTTTGCCCTTGTACTAGGTCCTCGCTTTGAAATATGTAATAGTTTAACGTGGTGGTCTTTTCTTGTCACTGACTTCTTGTGCTCTCTGTTTAGCACTCTGTTACAAGTCACTTCCTACAAGTCACTGTGTGAATGTGTGTGAATGGGTGAATGACTGAATGTAGTCTAAAGCGCTTTGGGGTCCTTAGGGACTAAGTAGAGCGCTATACAAATACAGGCCATTTACCATTCCTGTGTAGGAACCTAATTACTATACAGAGCAGAAAAGTCAAAGCCCTGAAGTTTTTTTTTCTTTTATCATATCTGAATGGTTATTCTTTTCTTTGTGTAGTTGGTAGACTTTTATGTATTGAAAGGTACAAAGATAAAGACAGCTAAGAACAAGCTTATTGGCATGAATAGTGTTTGTGTCTGACCTCAGCAGGACAACTGAACTCTTATATACTGTAGTTCTGTTATGTAGCAAACCTCACTTTATATATATATGTTTGCGAATTGATTAAATAAAGGAGATAAAGATAGCAACAACAATTTTTATGAACAAATGGTGGTTCACTGTATTAACTTAGCTATCTAATGCCATTTCACATTTTCATAAATATATTTTATGTAAAAAAAAACTTCCTGTGACTATGAATTGCAGCTACGAACACTTCTAACCTCAATAAAATCATACATTAAGTCTTACATGATATATTTTGTTAAGCTTGTGTTACGTTATGTTTAACAAAATGTGAGAAGAAAGCATAAAAATCAGTGATACCATTTATACAGTGTGATGTATACAGTGGTTTCCTGTATTTCTAAAGGTTTTTTGACAGAAAAAAAAAAAAAGACACAAGTCTTACAGTGTGTTTGCGTGTCCCTCAGCTCTAGTCGTTCCACAAAGCTAACAATGGACATGGGCTCTCTTCAGTCAGTGTGTCCTGCATCAGGCCCCCATGGACAACTGGGACCCAGCAACAAGAACAGCTTCCCATCCTACAGCCACCTGTCCACTGCATTATCTTCTGT